TTGCTATGGTCTCCTTCATGGAATCCCCGAAAGGAGTAAGAATGTAGAATGGCCACAAAGGTATCAGGTCTATGAGAAAGTGCATCTCGGACTCTGTTCTACTAACCTTTTTCGTGTTTCATTTCAAAGTCAAAGGCGTCTATGAACTGAATGTAACTACCCAATTTGTCATTTAGCTCCCCTTGGGTCTTCATCCACTGCAAGGCCGAATGATTTGAGTAGATCTTGAAGTGTCAAGCGTGAGAAAGCCAACTGGCACTGAGAAGTCCATTTGAAAGGGACATCCTTGGCCAGGAGGTTAGTCAGGGGAGTGGCAATGGAAGAGAAGTTCTCAATGAACTTCTTGTAGTAAGAAGCCAGTCGCATGGGGCTGAGGCTCTTCTCGGACAACCGCTACTTTGGAAGCTTCAGGGGCCAAGCCCTCTGTAGAGATGACATGACCCAAATATAAGAGAGAAGAAACCCTAAAGGCCCACTTCTCTTTGTTAATCTTATACTGGTGGTCTCTCAAGACTTGTAGAACCTTCTTAATATGTCCTGTGTTCCTTCACAGACTGCTGAATACTAGGAAGCGATCAAGGAAGAGTTTGAAAATCCTGTTCATTTCGGTTTGGAAGGTTCCAGATGCGTTGCAAAATCCACACGGCATAACCAGGTGTTCGTAGGTGCCACACGTGGTCTTGAAGGCTGTCTTGTGGACATCCTCTTCAGCCATCTTGATCTGATGATAATTTGACTTCAGATCGATTTTGTTGAAGACCTTGCGACCTTGCACCATGTCCAGGACATCATTGATCCTAGGCAAGGGCTCATAGTCCTAGTGATCTTATTGAGACCTCTATAGTCAATGCACATCCCGAGTTCCCCATTCCCCTTTGGAACAAAGAGGACTGGTGCCCCGAACTCAAATGAGCTAGGCTCGATCCAACCCTTCTCAGTTAGGGACTCTGACTGCTTGCTGAGTTCATCCAACTCGAAAGGGGGCATCCTGTAGACTTCCTTCGGACATGAGTTCAGGACTCTGACTGATTCCCGAGTTCATCCAACCGAAAAGGGGCATGCTGTAGACTCTGACTGCTTCCTGAGTTCATCCAGCTCGAAAGGGGGCATCTTGTAGAACTCAGGAAGCAGTCAGAGTCTACAGGATGGAGGGCAGAAGGCTACTTACCTAAGACAAAAGACTACTCCAACAAGAAGGCACCGACCCGGCTTCCCTCAGACATCTAGACGTTGGCCCAGACATCCAGACGTGGACTGTCTGGGCTGGGATCGGGACGTCCAGATTGTAACTTTCCTTTGTCAAGTTGACGGCTGACTTGATGTGGGTTCTGCACATCAGAAACTAGATTGCCTTTTGTCCGAGGGAAGTGTGTTGTGTGGCTTTAATCCTTGCCTCACCCAAGCTAGTCCGTGAAGGGGTGGACGTGGCTGATGCTGCTGGCTCGCTCGTTGGAGGAGCCGGCGGTTGTGTGTAAGACAGGGCCATGTTAACGTTCTGAATTGTCAGCAAGTGAGTCGCTGTAATGTTTTTTTGGGTCTTTTTGGTTTTCCCCCTTTTATGTTGTAAGTTTTGTTTATGTTGTTCTGTTTCGTTGGTCTACTGTCATGCCCCTCGAAATGTATTTTGTTTCATTCATTAGGCCCCCTGGTGACTCTGTTTCACCCTATCATCCTCCCGTTCAACCCTTTCCCTAGGCCAAGCCTTCTTTTTCTTCTCCTTCCTTTGTGGAGTCCACGTCTCTCTCCTCAGCGGTTGATGCTTAAAATCATTCTCATTCTCGTTGTGAAAGCACGGCTGAGATTGTCTGTGAGCATCATCTCACTTGGTTGCTCCTCCCTGGTGGTCAGCGGCAGGTCGCTCCCTTCACTCATGCAGGCCTTCTCTACACTCTTCGCGTCCAAGGATGCTGTGGATCCTTGATCGTCGTTGTCCCCTGCTGGTGGTGGCGCTGATATCTGTCTCACCCGGAGCTTGTGGTCGCTGGCTCCGTGAGGGTGATGCTGTGAACCTCCTTTTTGCTGCTTGGAAGCATACTGGCTTGACCCATCGCTGGTGGGAGTATGGCCCTAGGAGGGTTCCCTCCTATGCCGCTGGGTCCTTGCTAGCGATGGTCGTGGTGTTCACCAATCATGCTTGGGTGCGTCAGCCAGGGATTGCGGCGGTACTCCTGGCCCCACCCACGATGGCGGCGGTGCCCCCAGTTGAGTTGACCGCTCCCTGGTGGCACACCAGTCTACGACGTTGTTTCGTGTTGACGGCAATTGAAGTCGCGCGGGCCGGTGTGGCTACACTAATCAGTTGGCGCAGAGCGCAATCAATCCCCTAATCCAGAAATTTCATCTGGCCGGCAATGTATACCTCTAGCATGGGCCAGTCTGTTTGGTACAAGGCCTTGTCAAAGGAGAGAGGCTTCAGCACCACAGAACTTGTTTTTAACCTTCTTCCCTTATACTACCTTTAAGGGAATAGCGGGTCTGGCGTCACGCTCCCGCCAGGCCCGGCTGCCACTCTTGGGAACGAGTCGGGGACACCAGGGATGGGCCTGGCAGACACCCGGGGCGTCGTTTTTTTTTTCCTCTTTTGGCTCGCGCGTGGCGTGGTCGGATCTGTAGCGTGGCTCCAGAAGTTTCTCGCGTCCGACGCCGCGACGTGGGTAGATACACCGGTCGTTCGTATGAGACTGAATTCTGCTCCGGAACATGGGGAGATACACAGGTTCCCTTTTGTTCGTTTGTTTCGTTTCTTTTTTTTTTTTGTCGTTTTGCCAGTTTCCTTTTGTTCGTTTCTTTCCTTTTCTTTCTTTTTTCTGTTGTTTTGCGGGTTTGCTTTTGTCCCGCCCGTTGTTTTCGTTTTGGCCTGAGGGCCTCGCTGCACTGCTCTCCAAATGTGCAAATGAGACTGAATCCACTGCTAGAACACGGAGAAATACATTGCCATCTTTTTTGTCTTTTGCGCACATGGAGAGTACCAAGCGTTTTTCCTTTTTTTTGTCGTTTTGCAGACCCTCCATCGGGGAAGTTCGTTTAGCATGGATCCTGCGCAAGGATCACATTTGCAAATCGAGGGGGACGTCGCACAGCTGCGAGTTCACGCACAGCACCTGTGGCGCACGTGTTGCTTTTCCGTGTCCCACAAAGGCGGTGGGGACGAACGGGATGAGCGGGAGGGGGGGGATGGGAGGGTGAGGACCAGGGCAGTGGCCGGGGGGAGGGGCAACGCGAGGAGCAATAGAGGGACCAGCGGGAGGAGGAGGAACGGGATGAGAAGAGGGGGGGGGAGGGGAGGGGAGCAGCAGGGAGGCACCGCAGAGGGAGCAGTGGGCAAAGAGTAGGTCTGCCGTGGGCGTGGCCGAGGTGACCATACTCAGAGAGTTGATTTCCACGGGCCTGGCTGCATGCCGTGGGCGTAGCTTTTTTTTTCTGTAATGACCCGCCAAAAACACAGACTGAGAACACTGCTGATTTCTGGGATTTGCCACTGGAATGAATGCCTTGCTGAGATTCCCGCATTCTGCTGTGGTTTCCAAGTCTGTGTGTGTGTGTGCCTGCTGGTTTGCATGCCTGTCTGAGTGCTTGTCGGTTGAGTGTGTCTGTGACCCGCAAGGGTACTTGTTGGTTGCAAGGCCCCGCAGGGCCGGTACTTACCTGTGGCCGTGACTTTGAGGGTTGCAGGGGGGTAACACTAGAGTAGCGGGGGTAGGTCCGCGACACTTAGAGCAGGGGGAAAAACACTCAAGTAGCAGGTAGGCCGGTACCACTCAAGTAGTGGTAGGAATGTCGGGTAGCAGAAGAAGACGAAAAGTTGCCATTTTTAGAGGCCCAGTAGCGGTAGGATAGAGGTAGGCCGGTATCAGTCCAAGTAGCCTGAGTCTAGGGCCTGTCCGGACGATAGCAGAGCCTGTAATGATGTTTCCCTCCGAAAGGGAGGAGGTACCGATTGCTGGGAGGCCGCTCGGCCTAGGAAGTCACCGCCCAGGAGGCCGGTAGGCCGCTATATCTCCAGGAAGAGCAAAGAGCTCTTCCTCATTTGCGATGTGCAAGGATTGGCGACATGCTGCTGGAGCACAGCGCTGGCTGATACAGCGCTTCTTGGAGGTGAAGGGAAGCTGGAGCTCAGCCTGGCTATGGCGAGCAGTCCAGCCTGAGGAGGAGGAAGAAGGGGGCGAAGGAGGAGAGTGGCGAGGCACCTACCTGGCTATGGTGGACACCGTCTTCATCACCTTGTTGGGCGCTGCATCTGGAAGGCCCCAGTTGGGGTAGTGCTGCACCAAGGAGGCTCGAGGCAGGGTCAGGCATGGCGGACCAGTCAGCAGCAGCATAGCTGCTTTGAGTTGTCCTTTGGACAGGAGTGCAGCGCCATAGCTGCTGTGAGTTGTCCTTTGGACAGGAGGGCAGGGCCCTCGTTAGTCCGCCATAGCCTATGCATGAGAGAGGAGGCAGAAGGAGGGAAGCCATATCTATGGTGGTCTTGTTGTTGTTGTTGTTGTCGAGTCAGCAGTAAGAGGGAACTTCGGATATTGATTCTGGTTCATCCATTTATTGTTATTATTATTGTTGGGAGAAGATTAAGATTGGCGAAGTGGAGGAGGAGGAGGAAGGTGGAGAGAGAAGGGGGAATTGTCATTGGTCTTGCTGGTGTACATCTTCTTCTTCTTCTTCTTTCTCTCTCCTCTGGTCTCTATCTCTTTGCAAGTGCTTTCATTTCTTTCGCAATTGGGTGGCATTGTCTTTCATTGTGAATTTGCACTTTGGAAATGACCAGGATCGTAATAATTTTTTTTTTTGTTCCCCTGCTCTTAGTCCCCGCCGCAGTCGCGGCGGGCATCCTCCTTGTTTGCTTTAAGTGCATGTGGATTGATTGTGGAATAGATCATCTACCTTGCAGCAAAATTGATAATTCGGACTGGGGAAAAATATGGAAAGAAAATTGTGTCGAGATTTTTGGGATGTAAAGGGAGCGTCACTGCTAACCCCGTTCGTTGGGATGGGCATGTCCTCAGGTTCAAAAGCATTTGCGGAAGATGTTTTCTGGAGTGGCACGAGTTGGTGTACAGGGGGAAAGGAAGCAGGCAGTGATAGACAGTGTCTATTCGGCCGAAGGAGAAGAGTTGAAGCTGCACAAGGCCGTCCCAGTGAAAGAGGGCACTGGGACGGGTGGCAGTGCAGCCTGGCTTATGCGTCTTGAGGAGGCCACGCAGCGCACACTGAGTGATTTAATCGTCTGTGCATGCAATCAACTTGCTGCTATTTCATGGAACGACAGGGCAATAGCAGACGAGGAAAGCCCGTTCTTGGCATGGCTCTGTCGCTTTCCAGCACAGGTAGTCATGATTGCCTTGCAGATATCTTGGACAACTGCTACAGAAAGGGTTCTTTTGAAACAGGTGTGGCAATCTGACAATGGAGAAACGAACAGGAGGGAGGAAGTTGCCGAGCACCTCAGTAAAGTTGCGAGAGCCATTGGATGTATTCTTGAAGCTATGGCGAGGTTGGTAGTGAAAAGTGAATGCACATTGACGAAGAGGAAGATGGCACAAGTTATAACAGAGCTTGTGCACCAGAGATCAGTTATCAGGCACCTGATACAGCAAGGAGTGGAGTTGGTTGAAGATTTCAGCTGGCTGTACTATACACGAGTGTATCTTTTCCCGGAGAGAGAATCCAACGAAAGGGTAGTGGTGAGAATTGCTGACGGCAATTTCCAATACGGATTTGAGTACATGGGTGTCGGGGAGCGACTTGTACAGACACAGCTCACAGACAGATGCTTCTTAGGTCTTTCACAAGCACTCCACTGGGGGCTGGGTGGCTCGCCATTTGGTCCTGCGGGAACTGGGAAAACGGAGACGGTGAAGGCATTGGGGGTACAGCTTGGACGGCCAGTGGTAGTTTTCAACTGTGATCGGTCATTTGACTTGCAGGCCATGGGCAGGATCTTCATCGGGCTAGTGCGATGTGGAGCCTGGGGATGTTTTGACGAGTTCAATCGGCTGGAAGAGAGGATTCTGTCTGCAGTTTCACAGCAAATTCTAACCATTCAGCAGAGCTTGAAGGAAGGTAGGGTGCAAGTTGAGATAGTTGGAAAAGTGGTTGAGCTGAGCCCCAAGTCTGGCATTTTCGTAACAATGAACCCCAAGTACGCAGGTCGAGTGCAGCTACCAGACAATCTGAAGACTCTTTTCAGGAAAGTGGCAATGGCAAAACCTGACAGTCAAGCGATTGCAGAAGTAATGCTGTTCTCACTGGGTTTTCACTCTGCGGAGATTCTTGCAAAGAAGGTTGTGCCATTGTTCGAGCTCTGTGACAAGGAGCTAAGTGCCCAATCGCACTACGATTTCAGCTTGCGTGCATTGAAGGCGGTGCTTGTCAGTGCAGGAGCAGCGCAGCTAACACTTCGGCGATCTGGCAAGGAGGAAGAGGTGGGAAAGTCTATTGCGAAACAAGAGATGGAAATCCTGACAAGGAGCTTTTGGGAGACGATTGTACCAAAGCTTATCACTGAAGATGTCCCAATCTTTGCAGGTCTCATCAGTGATGCTTTCCCCGGTGTGACTGTTATTCGTTCAAATGCTCCTGATCTTTGTCAAGTTGCTGAACAAGTTTGCAAAGAATGGGGCTTGGTTCCCTCTGCTTCTTGGATGGAGAAGGTCCTGCAGCTGCACAGCATCCAGGTGCATCATCATGGTATCATGCTGGTTGGCCCGTCTGGAACGGGGAAGACGATGGCTTGGAAAGGTGAGTGAGCTGTTTCCCTTCGTTTCTTATGTGCATCTCAGATCCCCAACCCTGAACGTTGAGCAGAGTCAGGTGGTTGGTGGCTGTAGCTTCACGCTCTTTGCTGGCTGTGATGAGCAAGACTGCATTTGTAGGGCTGCGTGAGGCAGGCGGCTGTCAGTAAAAGGACAGAGTGGGCGGTGTGGGGAGAGGTAAGCTCCAGGACTGCTGCTGGACAGAGATTGGTTGTGGTGGGAGTCTGTGTGATGGTGGGGAGTGGTAAACAACAGCAGCATGTACTTCTCCAGGACTACTATCAGACGGTGGTGGGCCATGGGGTGTGAGAGCTTGCGACACAGCTGGTGATGGGTGTCAGACCGCATGACACAGCTGGTGGTGGGTTGTGTGGTGTCAGACTGTTGCGCCCGAATCTGCAAGAGCCACTTCCCGAAGTCTCTTTTGGCAATCTGTGAATACCTGAAGTTTGGCTGCAATCTGGACATCCGCGATGGCCGTCTAGTGGGTCTGAAGTCCAGTGACTGGGTCTTCCACGGCACTGAAGTCCATGGAAACTCCTGTTCTGAAGTTCCCGATGATAGGCATGATGCTTCATACTGGATTCGAGGATAGGCATAATGTTGCACACAGGATTCATAGGTCCAGTATTGAGTGCTGTGAAGTCGTATTAGCGATAAATCCCACTCAACCACCCAATAGAGACCTCTCGAAGCCACATTCGCCATCCTTGACCATGAAACAGATTCTGAAAAGACGCCTCAATTTTGGCTCGTCATGCTGGGTGCATTCCAGCCAAGCTCCATGTCCTAATTTTGAGTCTTTCTGAATGGCAGATGGGTCATCCCTTCCCGATCTGGCCCAACCACACTAGCTGTGTACACTGAATTGCATATCTTTGCAATCAGACTCACTTTCTTCTTTGCTTCGCATGCATACAAACAGATGGTGATTCACACTGGCGCATAGCGCCCAACTCAATGCTCAGAGAAATGGAAAAAAACAAGAACACAGTTCGGATGCAAACTCGCTTCAACAGGCTCACACTTCAACTCTGGATCACCCTGGATATCCCACACGTAAACCACTGTACACTCGCACACTCGCACATGCCACTCTCTCTCCTATTAGCTATGGCGGCTATGGCCGCTGCCTACCCTATCGCTATGGCTAAGCTTCCTTCTCGCCCACTTCGTCTTCGGGCCTATTGCAGACCACCTCACACAAGTCGCTGTAGCAGCACTTCGGCATGGCTTTCGCAGGAATGAATGAATGGCTGGGTGCTCCCTCTTGATTTATACTTCTGTAACTCATTGGTCTGCCCCTCTCCACCAGGCCTATGGTGCACACAGTTCCTCATGGTACTTGCTTGACTGGACTGGGACTGCTGGACTGGCTGACTGCATGGGTTTGCACTGCCAACTCAATGCAGTCGCACTGCCGACGTAATGCAGCTGGGCTCACCACTTGCCCACTTGCCTCTGACTAAAACGTGAGGCAGCTTCGAAAGGCCACTTCCGGACCTTCTGGAAGTTTGTGGACTTGGTTTTCGAGTACTGTAGCAGCTACGACCTTGACCTTTCAGGACTTTAGCAGCTACGACCTTGACCTTTCAGGATTCCTACAGCTACCACCTCTACAGGGCTGTGACTCCTACTTGACAGATCTACAGATCGAACCCCTACCATTACACAGACCTACGACAGACAACAACAACTCTCAAAACACAGGTCACGGGTTCAAACACTCCGGGTCGACACCTATACTGTACACAGGTAAAGTGAGGACTAGGGATCGAGCCCTGGGACCTGCATCCGCTACTGCTAACAGGTGAATACCATTTCACTCCCGCCGGCCTAAATTCGAGGTCCTCCAAGAATAGCTCAGTCTAAGGCAGGACCTTTTCCCTTTCTTTCTCTCTCGTAGGCTCTCACTATGTCGGGAGCTGATTCTAGAAGTTCAGTCCAAGTAAACCAGCGATTGTCCTCGGGTTCCTGATACGCAAATCGAACCTTGTACTGTTTCTGTGGACGACCTCTACCTCCTGTTCTGAATACGTCTTCACCTACAATGTCGTCAAGGTCGTACTTTCCGTCCATGTCTGGGGGGATCATGGATCTTCTGGATGGAAACTGTTGACTTGTGACACAGGGCAACAACTTTGACGCATGAAACACGGGGTAGGTATGGAGGTGTTCTGGGATCTCTACTGTGCAGGACGGCCCATCCTCTCCGCCCTTAACTTCTAGAACTGGCCACAGTCCTCTATGTGCGGGCAATAGGTTCTACGAGATGTTCTCCTCAGGCGCAAACTCTTTAGAGTTGACCCAGACTAAGTCGCCTACTCGAAACTGCGACGGGCGACGATGCTTATTGGCTTGCTCTATCATTCTATGTTGGGCCTTCCTGAGGTTCTCTACAAAGGTAGCTAACTCCTTTTCGTGTTGTAACGCAAACTCCCTAGTACCGGGCGGTAGCCTGTGAATCTGATCCCGGTTAAGCCCCTCAAACGGTCTGCGTGGTGTAAAGGACTTGTGCAACTCGTTGGGAGTGCGACAGGTAGACAAGTGCACGCTGTTATTGTACGCACTAGCTACTTTGGGCAACATCTCATCCCAATTGATCTGATCCGGCCTAAGGTAGATGCGCAGAACTTGTTGCAGGATCTTGTTCATCTGTTCAGTCTGACCGTTAGTCTCTGGATGACGGCCAGATGACATCAACAACATGGAGCCATAGACTCTCATCAACTCCTTCCAGTTCTGACTAGTGAACGGGGTGTCTCTATCACTAACTATAGACAGTGGAATCCCGTGTTCACTGACCCAATGATCAAAGAATTTCTGAATAACTAACTTTGTACGTGCCTCTAAGGGCAAAGGAACAAAAACAACATATTTACTAAATCTATCAACTATTACCATGACTTGGCTCTTGTCGTGCCTACTCTTGACATGGGTGTGCATAAAGTCAATGGACACTGAGTCTCCTGGCTGATCAGGAATAGGCAAGGGTCTGAGAAGACCTAGAGGGGCACGCGTAGAGGTCTTATTTTTTGGCAGACCTTACAACTGCGAACATACTCTATGCAGTCGGCCTTCATCCCAGGCTAGATGTACACGCGCATGAGGTTAGCTAGAGTCTTTTGCCAACCAAAATGTCCCTCAGTATGGTGGCATTCCCCTAGGATCAAACTACGAATCTCTTCACTGTTAGGAACGCACAATCGGCCAACTACGTTAGTCTTCTCGAATAGCAGCCCATCAGTAGTGTGGTAGTCTGGTTCGGACTCTGGGGTCTCCTTTACTCTCTTGAGGAGGTCACCATAGATAGGGTCCTGCGCATACGCCTCTCTAACTTTTTGCTGCAGGTCTCTCCGTATATCCAGATAATGAATTATTGCTCCAAAGTAGTCAACTCTCCTACTCAGAGCGTCCGCAACTACATTATACTTCCCTTTGACTGGCTTAAGCTCAAAGTCGTATTGGTCTAACTTCGCGGCCCACCTAGTAAGCTTAGGTGTCATCTTGGCCTGCGTCTTTAGCCACCTTAATGTCTCGTGGTCTGAGTAGACTTTGAAGTGCCTCCCAAGCGAGTAGTGCTTCCAGTGTTCTAATGCTTGCCTGAGAGCGTAGAGTTCCCTCTCGTAGGTAGATATCGCTACCTTCTTTGAAGGCATCCTAGCAAGCATGAACTCTACGAGTCTTTATCCGTTGCCATCGTCTTGCTGTAATACAACACGTATACCATACTGGCTCGCGTCAGTGGTGACGATGAAAGGTAAGGACGGATCGGCTACCTTAAGGATTGGGTACTCTATCAAAACACCTGCTTCAACTTCTTCATAGCAGACGTGCAGTCGTTGTCCCATCTCCAGATTGTTTCTTTCTTCAACAACTTGCGAAGGAGTGCAGGGATGGTGGAGAAGTTTCTCACAAACTTCCTGTAATAGTTAGCTAGGCCTAAGAACGACCGCAACTCTGTCAACGTGCGGGGTGTAGGCCAATTTCTAATCGCTGCGATCTTACTGTCTTCTGGTTTGATGCCGTCTCCGTTTAAAACATGGCCTAAATACAGAACTTGGGTCTTTGCCCATTCGCACTTCTTTGCATTGATCTTGAAGTTGGCCTCTCTCAACTTCTCCAAGACCTGCCTTAGATGACCCTCATGCTGCTGGAGGGTCCTACTGAACACTAGAATGTCATCTAAGTAGACTATTACGAACCTGCTAACCACGGCCTAAACAAGTCATTCATACAATGCTGAAAAGTTGTTGGCGCATTGGTTAGTCCAAAGGGCGTAACTATAAACTCGTAGTGCCCATATCTAGTCTGGAACGTGGTCTTATACTGATCATCAGGATGAACCTCTATCTGATGATATCCGGACTTCAAGTCTATCTTTGAAAAATACTTGCAGTCCTGCACCCGATCTAAAAGATCATCTATACGGGGCAACGGCTCCGCGTTCTTCACGGTGATAGCATTGAGACCCTTATAATCAATGCACATTCTAAGCTCTCCCTCCTTCTTTGGGACAAATAGAACAGGTGCTCCAAATGAAGACGAACTGGATCTAATCCAACCCTTCTCTAGGAGTTCATCTAACTGCTTGCGCAACTCCTCCAATTCCCGCGGGGACATCCTATACACTGCTCCTTTAGGAGTCCTGCTGCCAGGTTCGATCTCAATGCGATGCTGGATGGGCCGCGAGACTACCCATGTAGGCGGCTTAGCTAGATCTGTGTACTCTTCCAGCAACTTGGCAATGGCGGGATCTATGGGCTTTTTTTTTTTAGGCTCAGTAACCGGCCTGACATAGGCTACAAAAACCTGTTCTTCTAGCTGCTCCTTCTTCACTAACCTCACGAACGCAGGAGCGCTAAGGCAGCAATGTGCCAGGGAGTTGTCTACACCTGACACATGAAACAGACGAGCAGTCTTGACCCCGCCCGACGGGCTAGGGAGCCTACACTCGTGCTCTCTCAAATGGAGTGTGGCCCCGAC